ATTGGGCCCCTCCACCCCACATCCGCCACCCCCCCAGGCCTTCACCACACTATTTTCTGTGTCCATGGGTTATGCATATAAGCATATAAGTTCTTTGATTACTCTCTCCCCACCCACTCCCCCACCCCCGACTTCCCACTGAGATTCATCAGTCTCTTCCATGCTTCTGTCTCTGGATCTATTTTGTTCCTCAGTCTATTTTGTTTATTAGATTCCACATATGAGTGAGATCATGTAAAACTGAATCAGGAAGAATCACAAAACCTGAATAGGCCAATAATAACAGATGAAATCCCAGCAAACAAAAGCCTGGTCCAGGTGGCCTCACAGGGGACCTTTCTAATTCTTTAGGTTGTAGGGTTAGTTTACTAAAAATTTTTCTTGCTTTTTGAGGTAGGCCTGCAGTGCTGTAAACTTCCCTCTCAGGACTGCTTTCGAGGTGTCCCACAGATGTGGGGTTGTTGTGTGTTCATTTTCATTTGTTTCCAGGAAGTTTTTGATTTCTTTCTTGATCTTCCTGGTAACCCATTCATGTTTAATAACATGCCATTTAGCCTTCCGTGAGTTTGAATGTTTTTGAGTGTTTTTACTGTAGTTGTAGTATTGTTTTTACTTGGTTTCAAATCAGCTTGCCGTCACCCACCGATCATTTCTCTATTCCCAACTGGGATGTGTTAGTAGATTCTACTGTAAATCGGCTACTTAACAAAGTTATTAATACATTTTTTTAGCTCCACATTTAACTAGCGGCTGAACCCGCCTCGGAGATGGACAGACATTGCGGTAGCTCTCCAACCAGCGGAGACGGTGAGCTCCCAGCGCGGCCCGCGGAAGGCCGCTGGCGCCACCCTGTGGTCACGTATGCACATTGCGACCTGAGCTCGCCAAGGTGGCCGCGGCGCGTGACCCAGTTGCGCGAAACTAACAGGGGCACCCTTTCCGCAGCCTCCCCCAAAGTCCCGTGAGAAAATTTTGTTTCCTCAGAGCGGGTAGTGGCAAGAAATCAGTTCTAGAGTGCGTTGGCAGCATCAGCAGTGCGAGCAGAGGAAAGCAAGGGGTAGTGCTTGTCCGATCCCCGCCCCCCCGTACGGAAAAGAACACCCAACTCGTGAGCCGCCCCCAAATCTCGCCGTACTTGTTTACTCGGGGCCGGCAGGTGTGAGAAGCGGGCTCCCAAGTGGGCCGGGTCAGGAGCGGAAGGAAGCTTCGCAGGGAGCCAAAGGCAATGGCCTCAGCCAGGCCCGGGTGGGAGGGACAACCCGACTGCTCACGGACCCGGCGGCAGCGCCACCCCGCGGCCGCCTGTAGAGGTTGCAGCCTCTGCCGCCGCCTCGCGCAGGGGCTGCTGGAAGGCCTAGAGCACGTGGGGTGAGCGCTCCGCGCCGACGCGGCAGAAGCCCGGCCTGGGCGACTACGGGAAGCGAAAGGGCTCCAGCCGGAGGATCCTGGCCCTCCCGCGGTGCCCCAAGAAAGAGGCCGCGGCAGCAGGTGGAGAGTGCGAGATGGCGGTCCTGTCAAGTATAGACCACGTTCCTGCTGGTTCTTCCACCATCAGAGCAAGGAAGGGACCCCGGGCCGGCAGAAGCAGCAGGCTTGTGTGCAGGGAGCCTCCAGACTCTTCAGGGGCTGCTCTGAAATGCAATGGGGAACCACGGGACTTCACCCTCAGGGCTCCAAGGCCCATTTTATCCCGGATGACAAGGGTTTCTAGGACTGAGAAAAAGGCTGTAGGGAGGAGGGTGGGTGGATGGGTTTAGGGGGAGGGAGGTGAGTAGTTCTTTTCTTCGCCTTCAGATTTAGCAGGGACAATACCCAGGGTCTGTTGGACCTACCGAGGCTTCATTTTAGAGGCTCTTGGGTCCACCCTGTAATGCCTAGGGCTTCCAGACCTAAGCACCACACTGCAGTGTAGACAGTTATAGAGAACAGGCAATGGGTTGTGAGGAGAGTGGGTCAATAAACTGATTCCATTGACTCAGCTGAGAAAAATTTGAGAATCATACACAGGGTGGGGCAAAAGTAGATTTACAGTTGTGAATACATGAAGCAGTTTATACTTCTATTATTATTTTCTATAAGAACTGTAAACCTATTTTTGCCCTATCCTGTGTATGTGGTATTCAGCACCATAGACAAAATAGAAGAGAATGTAAATAGAAAGTACAGATAGAAAACAGAAGAAAGGTCTACGGCTGAATCCTGGGACGTGCCAAATCTTGAAGGTTGTGTAGAAGAGTTAGCAGCAAAGAATGTGGACAAGGAATTGCTGATGAGGCAGGAAAAACAGAAGTCTCAAGAAAGAGTGATCAACTATGTCAAATTCTCTTAAGACTTGGATTAGGAGTGGGATTGTCTTAAATCTAGCTCTTTAGAGGGAGGGGGTATCATAATACTGACTTTTCTAATTCATGAACATGATATAACTCCATTTATTCATATCATTGTTAATATTACACAAGTGTTATATAATTTTCTTTCTACAAGTTTTCTTCTTTTTGTTGATTTCCAGGTTCTTCATTTTTGTGTTACTGTAAATGGTATTGTTAGAAGCTTAAGAAGTGATTATTATCAGCCTCCTAGTTATAATAGTATAAGAACTAAAAGACCCTAAGAGAACTGTGTATTAGGCTTGGCAGGATGTTAAAAAAAAAAAAACCTCTGGAAGTTGAAAATCTGGGTCTCTGTAAGGTTGTCTTTTAGGTACAGACTTCTTTGTTAATGCACACTAGCAGTAAAATGGGAGCCAATAAAATTGCTGTACTTCCTTTATTCCTCATTTCTTGCTTTGTTTCTAAATATGGGTTCAAAATCCCCAAAGGGTAAAAAGCTCATCTTCATGCCTTCCCCTTTCATCTCCATAATACTAAGCACGTGATACTCCTTAACCCTTAGAGAGGAAGAAAAGAAATTGTGAAGAGGGAGCACATGTTAAAGGAAGGGATTTTCAAACATGTTATGTGAATTAATGGAGGTATAAAATCTCTAAAAAACACTAGAAATAACTGGCTTACACATTCTGGAGAAATACATTTCCCAAATGTGCTCTTTGAGAAGGTAATTTTGAAGAAGCGTTGAAACAGCTATCATCTGGAGTTTGGCTGTGACTTTGAGGCCCACTTCTGGAGAGGCAGAATAAAGCCCTTGAAGAGAAGAAACAGGCATTTACAACAGGTTTGTATATTGTGTCCATAATATCTTTGTCATCATTATCTTGATCAATTTATGTAATATAGATATTGTCTCTCCCCTCAAGGTAAAACTGTCTGGGCCTGGTGCTTTTTGAAAAATTTTTAATCCTCACCCAAGGACATACTTAGAAACATTGATTGGTTGCCTTCCGTAGGCACCCCTTCTGGATCAAACCTGCAACCCAGGTACGTGCCCTGACCAGGTATCAAACCAGCAATCTTTTGGGAGGATGCTCCAACCAACTGAGCTGCTCTGGCTGGGCTTAAGGGTATAGATATTTGCCTGTCTTTTTAGTTTCTCCTATATCTATGTTTTATTCATATAGTCTACTTTTCTTAAGGCAAATTTGGTCATTTGTATCTTAAATATTTTGCCTATATTTGCAAATATATCAAAATATACGTACCAATCTCAATGTCTTCTATATCTAATGCTGCTATTATTTGTGTAATGTTTCTCTTTCAGTACTAAATTTGCCAAAGGATAAACCCTTTAATTTTTTAAAGAAACAGATTTTGGGTTAATTGCTTAATTCTGTTTTAGGGGAATGGGAAAGTATGATCTCTTCTATTGCTTTCTGCTTCTTTCCTAATTTATTTTTTCTCGTTTCCTCAGGTTTTGTTGTTCCTTTATCGGCTTTTAAGTTAAAAGCTTAATTCATTATTTTTAATCTATTTTCTCATTTTAAAGCTCTGATTTTCCTGATCTCTTCATGCAGGTTTATAATACATAGTGCTCCATTTCTAAAAAGTAATTTTATTTTAATGTCCTCTTTAACCTATATGCTTTTCCCTAATAGTATAGATCATGGAGAGCATTTTCAGTTATTTCATTGCATTATGATTAGTAAATGCCTTGCATGGTTTCAGCTTTTTCAACATTTGTTGAACTTCCCATTTGTCATTTCACACATGGTCAGGTTCTACCAGTATTCCATGTGAATTTCAAAATAGTGTACTTTTTCTATTTTAAATATAGTTATTAATCTTGTCAACCATACTCTTCAAATCCTCTATATCAAGTTTTAGTCGACTTGAGCTGACACTCCCTGGTGTATATATGTTAACATAAGTACCACTGACTGTTGATTTTTAAAAATCTTTGTATGCACATTCATGTGAGTATATGCATATGTGCGTCTAAGTTAAGTGCCAACAATTTATGATCACTCCTTACAGGACTGCTGCTTTGGGGAACTTGGAATATCCCTCTTTTAGTGCTTTTTATGCCTATACATGTTATATATAGTTATTTAAACCTATGCTTTCCTAAACAACTCCTAGAGTAGTAATATCTGTATCTTCTTCCTGAATATAACATAAATCTTAGCTTGCTTTATTTCTCTTCATTCTTGTACCCCCCCATGTCAGTGTCACCTGGAATTTGAATTCCAAGTTTAAAAAAACAAAGAACGGGGGAGGGGGGGAATTTACACCCAAAGATGTTTGCATTTGAAGTAGTTCTGAATCTACTATTTCTAAATGTCCCATGGAGTGGGGGTCAAAATGTCTGGTTGAATTACTGGGCAGGAAAGCAGGTGCTAGGTCTAAACTTATGTGTAGACCAACAATCTAGAGCATGTGGCTTTATTGGGTAAAATTGGCTAAAGACGATTAGAAGCTAACAAGTAGAAAAAACAGTGGAAAAATAAGCTTTCTACCTGTACACGCTGGGGAAAAATTAGGGTTTAGCGTACTTACTTAAAAACACATCCAGGGGTACAAGGAACCCTCGCCACCCAAGAAACTTATGGAATAATATCTATCCCGCGGCTTCTGTGCTTAAGCTTCCATTGAGGACCTCTTAAGGAGCTTCGAGAACTAATTTCTTGAGAGCTAATCACTTCTTACAGAGTCGCGCGACTAAACAATACCACTTTCCGAATTTTAACAAGGAGGGGAATATAATCCTTTTTACGGCCCGAACGGGTTCGTGACCACGGGCCCACCCACCTAACCAAAAGCTTACCTATCTCCCAACAAGTGTTTACAGCCGCTTCTCCGGTAACTGAAGTGGCTCTGAAAAGAGCCTTTGGGGTAAAGTAGCTGTTCTATAGCACTTGCGCGCTTATTTAGAGCTGGTGTACTTGGTGACGGCCTTGGTGCCCTCGGACACGGCGTGCTTGGCCAGCTCGCCGGGCAGCAGCAGGCGCACGGCCGTCTGGATCTCCCGGGACGTGATGGTCGAGCGCTTGTTGTAATGCGCCAGGCGGGAGGCCTCGCCAGCGATGCGCTCGAAGATGTCGTTGACGAAGGAGTTCATGATGCCCATGGCCTTGGACGAGATCCCGGTGTCCGGATGAACTTGTTTCAGCACCTTGTACACGTAAACGGAGTAACTCTCCTTTCGGCTGCGCTTGCGCTTCTTCCCATCCTTCTTCTGTACTTTGGTAACCGCTTTCTTGGAGCCCTTCTTGGGAGCGGGAGCAGACTTCGCAGGATCTGGCATCTTCGCAAAGAGAACGACCACCCAAGAGTAGAACCAACTGCGACTACTGCCGACTTGGTTGAGCACTATTTATAGAGCCTATATGCAAATGAAGTCTCAGGCAGTACTGCGTTGTCATTGGTTGACTTCCAATAGTGGCGTCATAGAGGTGGAGCCCAAGTAAATAAGGTACTGCTCGCGCTCTCTCAGTGGCCATTAGAACAAAAGTCTTGTCAGCCAATCAAAATGTGCCATTTCACACTGACCAGTAAATTATCTCAAGTGATAGTATCTAGTTTGGGATCTTTTTTGCTGTTGCCTTTCTCATTCAATATACACTTAAGTATGGAAGAGATTTGCAGCGCCAGCTAAAGACAAATTAACTTCCTTATTTTTGCATTGTTTTGCTCTCTACTTTCTGGAAGTTCGTTTTGATTTTTGGAAAAATAGCTTACATTTTTAAAAAACCTCCGTTTTTTTCCCACCTGAAATTCCCATTCCGTTGTACGACACCTGTATTATGCAGTGAAGATGAATACTATATTAAAAATTGGGTTTATGTAGTTCTTAAGCACAAACCAGGAAACAAACGGTTTCCTAATTTTTAAAAGAAATGTCTCTACTCCCACCCGTCCTCGGGACTCAGCACAGTGTCTTACCCCAATCCTTTGTTAAAAATCCTGGCGACTACTTGGGGATCGAGGACTTCACCTGTAAACACCCGGTATGGTCCCGGTAACCAGAACGAATTGGAAGTCCAGAATACCATTCGAAGCTACTAATGATCTTCGAAAGGTATCAATCTGTACTCAGATTTGTGCTAACGTTTTGTACTAGCACTTTTGAAGTTATGAACGGCTGCTAACAGTGGCATTGCAGTCTTGCAAATTTCTCCTTTACTAGCTAAGGCTGGTCTTCCGGATTTGAAATCAAGCCAGCGTGTTAAAGCGAGGTGGAAACGTAGACCGTCGTTGCATCTACCCCGGTCCGCCGGCCCAAGGTCAAACCAGGGTATTGGCTGATGTAGGTAGAATGTACCCTCTACCTACAACACCGGTGTACGAGATGCCTTAACTGAAAAGCTGTTACAGCTGCTTTAAGGAAACGTGGGTGGCTCTTAAAAGAGCCTTTGGAAATTGCTTAAAGCCGTTTGCTTTAAGCCCGCTCCCCGCGAATGCGGCGAGCCAGCTGGATGTCCTTGGGCATGATGGTGACACGTTTGGCGTGGATGGCGCACAGGTTGGTGTCTTCGAACAGCCCCACCAGGTAGGCCTCGCTCGCCTCCTGCAGCGCCATGACGGCCGAGCTCTGGAAGCGCAGGTCGGTCTTGAAGTCCTGCGCGATCTCGCGCACCAGGCGCTGGAAGGGCAGCTTGCGGATCAGCAGCTCGGTGGACTTCTGGTAGCGGCGGATCTCGCGCAGCGCCACGGTGCC